AATATTATAGCTAGGAATATTGGACTGACTTGCTGAATAATAGTTTACTACTTACAGAAAGTCTTCGTGACATTGAATTTGGCAATGATTCCTTGAACATGACACCAAGAGCTTAGGCAATGAAAGCAAAGACAGATATACTGGTCTTCATCAAAGTTAACTTTGTACATCTGAGGACACTGTCAAGAGTGTAAAGACAACCCACAGAATAGCAGAAAATATTTGGAATCATATATCTTTTAAGAGTTAATGTCCAAAATATATAAAGTATTTGTACAACTTCATAACATCAACAAAAAGGACAAAACCTGTTTAAAAATGTGCAAAGTGCTAGAATGAACATTTCACCAGAGAAGATAAAGGATGGCTTAAGCACTTGAAAACATGCACATCATCACTAATCCTTAGGGTAATATAAATCATAACCTTAATGAGACACCTCCTTCTACTCATTAGGATGGTTGTTTCAAAGATTCAGAAAATACTAAGTGTTGATGAGAATGTGGAGAAATCAGGAAACCTGTGTACTTCTTGTGGGAATGTATAATGATGCAGCCACTATCAAAAATAGTATAGTGGTTCCACTAAAACTTAATGAGAGAATTCCTATATGACTTAGCAATTCAAATAGTCAGTATATCCATAAAAGAAATGAAAGCTGGTATCATAGAAATATTTGTACCCCAATGTTCATAGCATCTGCATTCACAAAATCCAAAGGTAGAAGCATCCCAAGTGTCCATTGACTAAGAAATGGGATAAATAACATGTGATATATATGGATACATATATATATTTATTTATATACAATGGAATATTATTCAGGCTTTAAAAGAAAGTAAATTCTGAGACATGCTGTAACATGAATAAAACTTGAAGACACTATGTAAAGTGAAAATAGCCAGTCATAGTTATACAAAATTTGTATAAGTCCACTTATATGAGTTACCTAGAATAAGCAAATTCGTAGTCATATAAAGTCTTATGCATTAAATGTGAGAATGTGGCATTATTGTTTAATGATACAAAGTTTAGATCTATAAGATGAAAAGAGTTCTGAAGATAGTGTTGTTATTTGCACAATAATGTGAATATACTTAATGCTACTGAACTGTACCATAAAAATCATTAAACTGGGTAAATTTATGTTAAGTATGTCTTGCCACAGTTTAATACTCAAAAAATGTACTATTTATGAGCAGCACAATTTACATTTGCAAAGATGTGGAAACAACCCAAATGCCCATCAATACATGAGTGGATTAATAAAATGTGGTATATGTGTACCATGGACTACTACTGAACTATATAAAACCATGGTGATCTAGCATCTCTTATATTACCCTGGGGTTGGGGGAGGGTAAACCCATAGCTAATGGAAACAGGCACACTGTATGGGGGAAGGACACGCTTGTAGCCCTGGCTTGAGCAAGGCAAATGCATTTCATGTAAACAAAATGTATATACCCCCATAATATCCTGATTGTAAAATCAATCAATTAATTAATTAATTAATTAAAATACAGGATAGGTTCTGCGTAAAAAAAATGAGGCCATGCTCTGAAGGGAGGTATCACAACAATGGAAGAATAAGCACCACATGTACTTGCCATCAAATTGGCACTGACTGATTAACACTAAGCTGCTCACACGGTAGTAATATTTTGGGGACGTTGGGGATAATGGATGCAGTGAGCATTGTAGGAGGGAAGGGCACACCTCTAATCATGGATTGGGTGTGGCAAAGTCATGACACGTAACCAAAATGTTTGCACCCCCATAATATCCTGAAATAAAAAATAAAATAAAATAAAAATAAAAGTAGATGAGAAATGTTCTCTAATGTGGGTCTGTTTTTATGACCTTCTCCTGACCTGAGTTTTCTTCTCCTGCCCCCTTAGAGGTATCATTGAAATGTCTAACAACTTCTGGTTAAATTCTAGATGTTATATATATGAAAAAATGCAGAATCTGGGACGATGTTTATCTTCGTGCATTCTCCTCCCACGGCAGTCACAAGGCTGCAACCCCTCCTGCCCTCACCCTAGGTGGACATGCTGAACAGAGTCCATAGTTACCTACAGCCATGAGTGTAGCTCTCTGATGTTTTCCCATCTCTGGATCTTCAGACAAATTTTTTTCCTTAGCAGCTATACAATGCCTTTTTCACATGGTTTCCGTATTCATCCAGATGGTCTAGTTGCTATGTTGCAGGCTACTCTATTCCACTTGACCCACAAGATATAATTGTTAAAATTTAAAATTAGAGACCGGAGCAGCCCGGAGACCAGCGGCAAGGGTAGGTGGATTTGCTGTATCCACTCCCCTGCATTTGGGACTACTGGTGGGCTCCACAGCGGGTGGAGAGACCTGTGGACACCAGCCCAGAGACGGCTGCCGCCAGCCAGCGGTGAGCCTGTAGCGGACGTGGCACCAGGCTCCCAACTCTCTCCCCGCACCTCCGTGTGCACAGACCTGAGCCGCACAGCAGGCACCATATTGCCTCCTCCTCCCCTCCGCCACCCTACCCGTGGCTACCCAGTGAGACATTACAGCCACCAGCTGGAGGCACCTCCAGGGAACAGG